GATATACTTAGGGGCAACTTCTTCCATCTTCTCTGTAGGGGACACAAGAATAGATGCTAAATGGTTGAAAACAACTTTGCCTCTGGGCATATTCTGTTACATGCAGAGAATATCCAGTTTCTGATCATGAACAAAGATTTTCACTTCCATATCACATTTTGTCTCCTACAGTACACTTCAGAGAAGACTTTTGATTTTCTTTTTTACACTTGAAAGTTAGGATTTAGATTTTCCCTGTGTTTATGGATGATTGTTCTTACTTTCCAGTCACTGAGCTGATTAAGTGACTAACAAATTTGAGTTTAGCGGGTGTTCAGAAGAGAGCATTCAATGATCTTGTTGCACCATTTTGGCATAACCTTCATGCATAATTTCCTGCGATTTCATCACTATTCTGCTCCGGGAAGAAAGTTCTTCATGTCTCTGGCAAGCACACATGACATGGAGGTGAAAAAAAATCAACCCAAATGCAAAAACAGACATTGGGATGAGAATCGAGATGGAATTTCATGATTAGAAATGATCCTGGATCCTTTTTTTTGAAATCAACAATTTTGGGTGCCTGGGAAGAAAATTCCTGATGCTAGTGACAAGCATGCTTGTCAGGGAGTGAACAAAAAATTTCAATTTGAAAGCAAATATGGATGCTGGGAAGCAATTTGTGGTGGAATTTCATGCTTAGAAATGGTCCTGGGTCCTCTTTTTTAAAATTGACAATTTTGAGTCCCTGAGAAGAACTGGAGAACTTGAGAAAATGGGACTGTTGTGGAGGGCTGATTCCACTAGCTGTGTTCCAACAACTTACCTACAAAGCCTTGTTTCAATCTGTGGTGGTGGTGGGTGGCCAAGCTTGGGTCCCTTCACATGATAATCACCACTGCCCCTTCAGGCTGCTCTAGGTGAGGGTCAAGCACTGCGCAGGTGCAGAACAGTGCTTTATCTCCTTGCCTTCCCATGGCTGTCAGCCAACTGAAGGAGCACACAGCAACTGCACAGAGCCAAACCTGATTCATTTCCCCCCTCCACACATACCTATTTACATTTGAACCAATAAAGAAGAGTTGAAGTGACAGGTCCTTGATGCTCTCTGAGTTTGGTGATTTTCTTGCAGACATTTCATTATCCAAACTAGGTAACATCCTCAGTTTATGTAATGAAATGTCTACAGCAAACCACCAAGCTCAGAGAGTACTAAGGATCCACCCCCCCACTTATTTATATTTAATTTCTAATTTCCAATTGATCTCATGTGGTCTGGACTGGGGCAGCCAAATCACTGGATGTGGCCTGGAGACCATAAAATGCCCCGGTCTGCTCTAAAGTAATTAGTTCCTCACTGTTAGGGGTATGCAAAGCATTTCATTTTGAAAAGTTTCAAGTACAAAACTTTGAAAAAAACCTTCTGCATGTGAAGCTACCATTTCTAATGTTTTTTTTTCTTCTGTTATACTTAGTTTATTTTAATCACTATAATGTAAGTAGCTTTCCTGCACAGGTATCAGTTGCATACACCGTTTCTTCAAATGCTTATTCAGAATAAAGCCTTTTGAAAAGATTTGCTCCTCTCTACCTCAACTCAAAAGCAAGTCTCACTAAATTGAATGCAGTATATTAGATTGCATCTTCCTTGTAATGAATTAAAGAACCTATGTGGTGCACAAATTATTCAATAGCATTTTTCTAAAGAAATGAATGGTGGCAGCCCATTTTAACCAGCATATTAATATCAGTATTCATGGATCATTTTCTTTAATAATGCTACATGAAACTTGATTGAGTTTGTTCTCGAAAACATATTTTCTCTGTATTGTCTGCAGCTGTTCACAATGGATTTTGAAGATAACAAACTACTTTATAAAAGCTACATTTGAGCAATTGTTATTATTTGTAAAACAATGCAGTTTTCAACTAATATATAGGCCATCTTTAAGTATTATAATGTAAAGTGATATGCATTTTTTAAAAATGTACCAGAAGTCAATAATGTATACCCTTTATATATAAATGTTTAGCTAATTTCCAGTCATCAGCCCTTCTTAATTCAATGGCAATAGACCATTGAAATGGATACTTTTAGCATGAAAATGTGTTGAGTACGTTAAATGAATAAAATTCATGTGAAAAAATAATTTTCATTTTTTTATTTTCAAAAGATATGTAAATTCTCATGGATATTAGCCAAGATAAATAGATGTTCTGATGTTGATTGAGTTTAATGGTTTTATCATGGCTTATGTATTCAAAGCCCTTTCAGAACTACAACACTTTTAGTTACAAAGAGCATGTGTATATGTATTTGTGTGTGGGCATGCGTATGCACATGCACATACATACATACCCACACACTATGTATGTATGTATGCATGTACATGTATGAACGTGTGCATGTATATGTATGTATGTATGTATAATTTAAATAGCCTTTTTCAGTAGCTCCTGGCAATAAATTTTGCAATGTTTACCAAAGCTCTGATTCAAAGTCCTCCTCACACTGAATACTGGAAGTCCTAGGATTAGGATTTACTTCATCCACCCTGTAATAAATCACTTTTCTAAACTTCACCTGTCTAATATTCGGAAATTACGTTAGAGTCCTGCCACAGACAAAAGAGAAACACATGCATTATTTTGCCATTCATTCATCCCATTACCAAAACTGTAATAAAGATATATTGTTGGGTAGCCAGAAAGCATTAGAGAAAAGAGCTGATTTTTTTAAAAAAATGTTACAAGTCTTCCTTCTCATTATGCTTCTTCAGCATTTCTTTTGTTGTTCTTTTAACTATTCAGTTCTGCCCAACTCTTGGTGACTTTACAGGCAAGTGCTCTCCAGGTTTACATTTCAGCATTTCTACATGACACTTAAATGGATTCCAACTGAGGCTCTGGCCAGATTTTGTCTCTTTAGACATGAAAGAAATAAAGAGTAAGAAGTTACCTGAAGAGAACTTCCAGCTGTGATTGTGAATGAAGAAGTAGAAAGGTTTCAGCAGAGAGGGAAATAGTCTGTGACATCAAGTGCATGTCATTATGAAAAATTTTATGCAAAAAAATTATTTCATCTGTACAATATTCTCCTGACATATGTGACAGAATTGTGGTTTATGCCAGATGTCCTTTGGTATTCTATTAGTCAATTTTATGGCCTGATGATTTATGGAGGGACTAGAGCAGGGGTGTCAAACTCGCAACGTCACATGACGTGTCGTGATGTATTGCAACTTTTTTTCCATTGCCAGCAATGGGGTGGGCGTGGTTTCGGCATGACACATCCGGCCTGCAGGCTGGCAGTTTGACATCCCTGGGCTAGTGGAAAAGGAATATCAAAAAAGTTGATATTAAAGTAAATCAAACTAAGAAATCAATGCCATGTTGGTCAGTACTACATTTATTGTATCAGCTGCAGTCATAGAATCTTGCTGTCATGGTTCCGACAGATGAAACTCTTCAAAGAACTTCAAGACATTGTTTACCTTAAAGAATCTTTATTTGAAAGCATAGCATCGGCACTAACACAGTTGAAGCCAAAAATTGAATTCCCCTCCCCTGAGCACATAGTATCAAAGCACAATTCCCTCCTCCAATTAACATTCATAAATCACATTCTCCAATTAGTTTGAAATGCAGGATTTCCCTCCTGTTCTCCAACCCGCCAATTCTTATCATCCCTTATTTCAATAACCTTGGTTCATACACCAGGTCCAGTATTGTTATGTCTAGCTAAACTCTCATGCACATTCCTCCCCCCAGCATCATCTAACTCTAACTCTAAAAGCAAAACATAAGAGGAAAATGGTTGCATCTCCAACTGTTGTCAAAGCAAAACATGCGATGTTAGCAGCGTTGACACTTGCAAATCTACAATGGGCTTGTCTGAGACATTCCTTCAAGTTACTTTCTGGATCTGGTCTCAGGTGCCTCTTTTCTGATTGCTGCCTGGATAATGGCTCTTTTTCTTGTCCACCAAGCCCATTCCCTCTGGGATCCTGGGGGAGATAAACACAGGATGAGAGATCTTTTTGACTCAGTTCAAATTGTATAAGACAGATAATATACATATTGTTTTCTTCATAGAAGTATTGGCAGCAAAGAATACTTCTCATACACAGCTATAAAAAATGAGACTTTTGAATTTAAGAAAAATATATTATAAAATATTTTTTTCTAAAAGACAAAAAAGGGGGGAAAAACCGTAAAGTCACATTTTCCCTTCTAAAAGGAAATTTTCCTGGTGGGTAAGAGGAGAAGGGTAGGTATTGTATCCTTCCGATAAGGAAGCCAGGTCTTATTTTCTCTCTTCTTCTAGCCTCTGGGAGTTGATACTATTTTGACTTTCTGGATATTTGTACAAGTGGAACCTAATCCTAGATCTGTAAAATCAGGGGAGAAAAAAAAGCTCTAAACTGTACAAATAGTCTCCCTGATAATCATTGACTAATGAATAGGTACATTTGGATGAGGACAGTAAAACTCTAGACTAATTAAAGGAAAGTATTGAATATCTGCAAAGTTGTGATTCCTATAACTATTGACATAATAAATGCAAAATGTCAGATATTAATTGTAATTTAATTAGTTATTGAATTTCTACTCTGCCCATTTCACCTGACTCACTCTGGGTGATTTATAATAAAAATGCAGAGTTAAGCCCTGGAAGAATAAGGAAACAGTTTGCATTGACAAGAATTTTTCATATATCTCATGTATAATAATTTTGCAGCTAGCTGCTTCAACTGAAGATCTTGCAAGGGTTTAAAATTTATCAACCTTGGTGATTTTTCCTTTTGAAGATTTTGAATCACTGCCGGGAAAGCTGAACTTGCTTGATTTGTTTGTTATTATCATTGCAACATAGAGTTCCCCAAATTCTCATGGTATCCTCTCTTAACTGCCAAGATCATATTCTTATTCAGATAATATTTCCTCATCAGTTCCCTAACAAAAAGCAAACCAACAAACAAAAATGAGGAAGAGATGGTAGTAGCTAGGAGAAAACTGCTGAGATAGTCAAACTGCTGAAGTGAGTTTGGTGGTTCAGACATTGCCTGAAGAGCTATGAAGAGCTGGCTGCTCCTGGTTGTTGTTTTTCTTCTCTGGCCAGGTTGCTCTTCACAAAATGGTAAGTTAAGAAGAGAAATCAAGGGTTACTAAGGGAAACAATTTCTGCTGTAATCATGAAAAGAGTTCCATTTTTCATTTATGGCTTTCTTGAAATTTGTAATACCAGATTTGTTAAGAATGTCATAGACTGATAATTACAATCCCCTTATCATATGCAAATTTTTTCAGCAACTGATTGGTGAATAGCAAAAATACTTTGCGTTGGTATTATAAATTCACACCTGTTTGGGGGGGACTTTGCTTCAGGTAATAAATAACTTGATACCACAATAACCAAGTGATTATCATGTCTAATAATGCTACTTTAAAACTGATGTAAAAGTTTACTCTTTGATTTCACTGAAGTATTTGTGTTTAACGGTTTATTTTACTTATAAACAAAAAAAGATCCCTAAAAGTTGAAATGAATAGGTGTAAAATGAAATATATTTATTGAATATATTTCCACATCATTTAACTACTCAGATGCTAATGTACTAAAATCAGAGATTACAGAAATAGAGGACTTTTCATAGCAATAAATCCTGCTGAAGTTTTGAGACTCAAGTTTTTTTTTCCTGTGCACATGTAGAATAACATGTTGACAGTAATGCAGTTATCTATACTTTCCCCCAAGTCCACAAGAGGGTGTTGACTAGAACAGATTCTTTTTCTCTGTATTTTCCTATAGATGAGGTTATTTTTATCATGCCCTTTATTAATGCTCTGGTCTACCACTACAGCACATAATATCTCCATAAGAGCATTGATTATGCAGGCGACATGGCTGCAGCTTCTGTACCATTTTATGCAAAGGAAATGAGTCTTTATAAGTCAGTAGTTTAAAATGTTAGAGATGAATTACATCAAGATAAAAATAAAATCAATTAGTAACTATCTAAATTCATGGTAAGAATATCCTTTAGGAGAAGACAAAGAAGATAATATTCACTTTATAAGACCAGTAGCTATGACTGCATTTGCTTATATTCATACTAATCAAAATTTTAAGCCAATCATTTATTTATCATTGTTTTGGATGGTTGCCAGTGAGTTGTTAGTGCTGAGCTTTCTTGTTTATTCTTTTTAATCAATTGGTTAATAAACTAAATAGCTCCCCACCCCCAGCATTGTTCAAGTTAGACATCAGAAAGGGAAGGTTACATATTACATGTAGCCCTTGAGTTATGACCCACAAGAGTTCCTGTAACTCTTCACCTGTAGGTGAGTTATAACTTGTTATAGTCATAAAGCAGATCAGTTACGTGACTGACCAGATTTTTATAACCATTTTTGTTGTGGACATAAATGAATTACCATGGTTGTTAAGCAAATCCACAGTTGTTAAGTGATCCAATGGTTTACTATTGATGCAGTTTTGCTGGTAACTGGAAGTAAAGGCTGGTTTTTGGCAAAATTGTTAGAAAACAAGGTTGTGTAACCAGGGATGCTGTAAATGCAGCCCAAAATGAACTCATGTGACCATGGTGAAGGATGGCTGTTGAAACTTCAAATCTGGATCAAAAGCACCTCCCCAGGTAAGTTCCTGGGAACTTCAAACAATCATTAAATCTAGGACTACCTCTACCTTAATCCTACTAATGAGGATTAAGTGCCCAGCAGGTATTAGTTTCCAATTACGACAAAAGTGGGAAATAATTATCTAACTTGGTTTAGAACAGGAAGTTTGTTATCTTGCAGTTCATGAGAAGTTCATGAGAGTTAACAGGAAAAGTGAAAAGTCTAAGCAAGTAAGATAATTTTATGTAAATATAATTTCAGTATGTGAAGAACCAGATGACATTGATTTTGGGGAAATTGTAACCACTGAGAAAGCCAAGTATCTGGAAAATGACCGAGTGCAATACAGGTGCTACCCTGGCTATGTCTTGGAAGGACCTGAATGGATTCAGTGTAAGGGACAACAATGGACACCTCATCCACCAAAATGCTTGGGTAAGCCATTATACTTTCTTTGACTAGTGTAAATCTGGAAGAAAATTTAGAATTGCTCCAACAGGATAAGAATTGCAGCTGCCAAATTCTTTGAGAATAAGCTTGAATTTGGATCCATGTTTTCCTCTACACCACAGGTGTCAAACTCGATCGCGTCACGTGATGTGTATCATGACTTATCATGATGTTTTTTGCCTTTGTGGAGCTGGGGTGGGTGTGGCCTGCATGTGATGCATCCGGCCCCCAGGCCACCAGTTTGACATCCCTGCTCTACACTGAAGCCACAGACTGTCCTGGTGTCAGATTCTTTTATTTAAAATCTAGAAATATTAAACTGATCTACATTATTGAATGAACAGGCAAATCAGTGAATAAATTTAAAGATGGTCAATTGGAAGCTTATATTCATTATGTGGAATCTACCTTATTTTCTTTCTTTTTTTTTTAGCACCATGCATAATCACAAGACAACAGCTAGCAACAAAAAACTTGTTTGTGTTTGGAGGCCAAAGAAAAACTTGGATTATTCAAAATAATCATAGTGTGCAATTTCAGTGCAATGAAAGACATGTGCTTGTGGTTCCATCAGTCAGAAAGTGTGTTGACGGTTACATGGATTTGCCATTATGTCTCTCTGGTAAGCATGCTGTCAGTATGATGGATTCCTCTGGGATTGTAACTAATTAAAATAATTAATATATCATAATGAATATGAACATTTGCTTCTAAATTTCCATTCTTTTAAGAGTAATTTACTGGCCACTGAAATCACTCATATTTGCCTTAGAGTTTTAGTAGTGGTAACTGAAATATTAAAAAAAAATCCTAAAGCAAATTGGAGAAGGATGTTCTGACATTTCTCCAAATATTAATTTTGACCTTAAACTCAATCCAAAATCTAAGAAGTTTTCTTTCTATGTGGCTAAAGATACATATAAATATTGGTAGCATGAGTGATGTGGTCTTCTAGCAGTGAAGATGCTTGCCTTCCACTTGGAAGGTTGAGAGTCAATCCTTGGTAGCAGCATATGTTTCTCTCCTAGGATGCAAAGTGAAAACATCTGCTGTGAACTCCATGTGGCATCAGGAAGGGAATCCGGTCAGTAAATGCTCAGCTCCCTTCAGTCACCCAGTGTCTAACCCAAATTAAGAGATTACAGAATTGTAAAAAGGGAGGTTTTTTTAAAAAAAAATAAATATTGGTAGCATAGGAATTTGTTTCAAAAAATGTAAAGGTTTTTTAAAAACATGTTGATATCATATCATTAAGAGAGAACCATATTTTGCATGATGAAAAATCTCTTTTGTTTGAAATAGGTTGGATGACATTATCATATAGTCATGGTAATATTAAGGTACCTGAGAATATGACTGTATTTAATAATTCTGCAAGTATTGGTTCCAGACTATTTGGGTCATGAAGGACATCTTTGCTTGAAGATATTTAATTTTCTGATTCTTATAATAATTTTGTAGCCCACAAAAAAAAATAGTCCAGAAGAATTTTCAGAACTATCACTGTTTCTTGATCACTTAATTGTTGGTGGAACCCTAAATCTTTTTGTGAATTTTCAGTTCAGTTTCAGATTTATTTCAGTTCCATTCAGTTAAGATAGAAATATTTCAAAACAACACCATATATTAATAGTCAAAATCAGAAAGTGATGCAATCTTTCGTAATCATAAATTAAGAGTGAATTTTGTAAATTTTGTAAATACTTACTGCAAAGGATCACATCTTTTTCTGTTTCTTTCTACACTTTTGTTTTCCTTCCTTCCTTCCTTCCTTCCTTCCTTCCTTCCTTCCTTCCTTCCTTCCTTCCTTCCTTCCTTTGTTTTGTAAAATTTTAATTAAAAATTATAGAAAGAGAAAATGATATACACACAGTATCATTTAACTTGGAGGACATTTAATGTTTACATCAACCTATAAATAGAGAGTATACTTTGCTATGCTCAGAACATGTGTTAGATTGGACTAGACAATCCTACTTCAAACATTCAAATCCTACTTTAAATGTGCTCAGTTATAAATGGCAGGTGGTATTTTAATATTTTTGACATAATATGATTATTTTTATGATATTATTGAAGAACAAACATAAGGATTTTTGAAGTTAATAACAATTGTGCCAATTGATGGGTTGTATGACATGCATATAAAGTTTGTATACATAGATATGTTATTACCTATGATTCTGTGAAAATGAAAAAAATACAGAGCTTAAATGAAAACACTTAGATGATAAATTTGGTTAAAAATATTTACTGACGTTCAAGGAATCTCACAGAAGAAATATATAATGTCTTTATGTGGGTTGAGTCAGAGATGGGTGATTTGAAATACTTACATATGATGGCCTCAGAATCATGGATCCTGAATATATTAAGTTATTTTTTCTGATGAAATAAGCAATAACACAACCTTGATATTACTAGGCATTTATTTTATCATCTATCTATGTGTAATTATTAATTTAACTGAATATCAACTTCTGAGATCTTTATTAGAAAATAATTATCTGTCAACCTTGCAAAGTAGACTAGATAGGATGCACAGACAGATGAGCTAATTTTACTTTTCTATAAGATTATGTTAGTATATTCTTGCAATCCTAAAGTAAATTTTCCTCCCCACTGACCCCTCAGTCCCCTTTACAGCTCATGAAACTGGGAGTATCTTTTCTGAACCACTTGCAGAAATGTGAACCACATTTCTGCAATGGGCTGTATACATTTTATACTTTGATAATAAAGGTTTTTTTAATTATTATTATTATTATTATTATTATTATTATTATTATTATTATTATTATTATTATTATTATTATTATTATTATTATTATTATTATTATTATTATTATTATCTGACCATTCCCTTGGCTGCATCTCCTCTCACTTTTTTCCAAGGTCATTCCCACATGCCATTACTTCATGTATTTCTGTTAAGATGTTGACAGTTACTTGGGTCAACCCAGAGCAAAGATGATTTCAGCATATAGCAAAAAATAAAGGGAGTTGTGAGCAAGTAGGTGTATTTGAGTTCTGTTGAGATGTAGATTGTATTTTGATGATGAGTCTCACTTATTTATGGAGGAATTCTACTTTAAAAATAGGTGATATCTAGTGCTTTCGGAAAAGATGAGCATAATCTGTAATAGTTACTTTAAATCAATTTCTTTGAAATTATTATTTTAAGGGATGTTTTAAGGAATGTCAGCAATTCAGCTAGACATTCCTGGCCTAAATATAAGTGTCAATGTAATCAATTTAATCATATTTTTATTTCAATCAACTTGAGTTTGAAATTGTATCTGAAATTTTAAAATATCTTTGAGGTTGAAATTGTTGTGAAGTATGACTTATGGAATGAAGAGTTGGAATAAATAAAAAAAATGAAACATCAGTTTATGTAAAACTTGAAAACATGTTAAGATTATCCCTTGGACTTGAGGTTGAAATGACCTTATGAAGAGATTTGATTCTAAATGTATTAGAACTCTTCAAAGACTACATCAGAAAGATTAAGCATACATGGGACTTCTTGTGAAGATGGCCAACTGAAGGCAAGTTCAGGGAGGGCTCTCTGGGGTTCCCTGAAGGGTTTTTTTCTGGGCTGTCACCTTTTTCATCTTACTAGCAGAAGGAATGGGCATTCTTCTGGTTGATATGACTCTCCTGGGTTAGGGAGATTCCTAGAATCACTCCACAAGATCTTCCATCCTCCATTCAGACTTCAAAACACATTAAGTGTATCCTTTGGACTTGAAGTTGAAATGAATTTATGTAGAGATTTGATTCTGAATTCATTGGAACTCCTCAACAACTAAATCAGAAACATTCAGAACTGAGTCATATTAATTTTGGCTTCTTTTTAGAAGAATATTGTAACAAATAGAAATATGGGTAAATGTTTTCATGTTAAAGTTGTAAATGGTATTTTGAATTATATTCTAAAATCAAGAAATCTAACCATTTTTCTGGAACTGCAAGGTTATATCATACATGTGGAATAGCCAAGAGAATTTGGAAAACTACTACTATTTAAATATCAAAGATTGAATTCAAGAAATATATAATTATCAATTTTGGAAAAAGGCTATTTTTTTCTGCTAAGAAAATAAATGATGCTGTATAATTTTTGTCATAGATAAAAAGAGCAGTTTATGTTTTTGTGTAATTTGCACACTTATATAACTTGCAATATATTTAGCTGGTATAATTTTTGTCATGGATAAAAAGAGCAGTTTATGTTTATGTGTAATTTGCACACTTATATAACTTGCAATATATTTAGCTGGTGTAATTTTTGTCATAGATAAAAAGAGCAGTTTATGATTATGTATAATTTGCACACTTATATAACTTGCAATATATTTAGCTGGTTTATATCAGTTTAATGTGTTAATTCTAAGTGGGGGCATTGTTAATTTGATTATTCTTTCTGCTTTTGTAGCTGCTTTTGCATTATACTTAACAACTACTTAGATTATCTGTTCAATACATATATATTGCTGTTTTTTCTGTGTATATTTTAAAAATACTATAAACACATACAACTTGGATGGATGCTCATTAAAACAGATTTATTGGTGTCTATTTAATTGGTCAGGAAATACTGATGGGCAATCACAAAGCTTTAGTTTGGAGTATGGCCAAAGTTTTTTCATGCTTTCATATTTCATAGAAAGAGGGGGAAACTGCAGTGGTCCACCAAGGATTGAGAATGGAGACATTACTACTTTATCTGAGAAGCGGTACAGATCTGGCTCTTCAGTAGAATTCAAATGCCAAAAGTATTATGCCATGGAAGGCCAGAAAAGATCTTTCTGTGACAATGGGACCTGGACAAAAGTGCCCATTTGCCTCGGTAAGCAGAAAAGAAAGTCTTCACCTAATTTTGATGAGCATTTCTAATCTTTAGGATCCATTCACTGCTTTCTTTTTCTCTTGCATAAAGATGATTTATATATTTCAGTTCTATATCTGAGATGAACTGGCTAGTAGGTGAAAGCTAAATTCTATTATTAGACCTTTGCAACAAGATTCGGATTTGCATTTGGATCCTTCTCTAACAGATTTATTTTCTTTTTCATCTGAGATCCCTGTATGATTCCCACGGCTGAACTGGAAAGGCAGAAGATAGAAGTTAAAGATGGAATGGACGCCTCTGAAAATATATTTGTGCAACGTGGTCATTCTATAGAGTTGATCTGTAGAACAGGATATGTCCTTGCAGCAGATTCTTCCCAATCAGCTTCTATAATCCATTGTGATGGGACACCACCTGTAATTCCTAAATGCAAAGGTGACTCAAAGGATTTAATTTTACAAACCATGGCTAAGTTAGTACAAAAACAGCACACAGCATCCTTGAGAGTTTTTCCAAAACGATTGCTCATTCATCAATGCAGGATAATATATCTGCATGGCAACACCGTTTATATCATTGAATGGTATAGTACAGCTCAGCTCCATAGCTGAGCTACTATATGTTTCTATTTTTAAAGAATTTATAAAAATCTAATTTAGTTACTGCTAGAGAATATTGCTTTACCTCTGATCTTTGGACTAGTAGATTAGTGGATGCCTAATGTGGTACATTTTGCAATTTTAGAAGTTTAATGTCTCCCAGAACCAGTAGTTTCACCATAGGCATCAGAAGAACATAATGGAGATGTTTATTTATGCACATTTCTCTATAATGTTTTTCCTTGTGGATTCTAGGCAATTTACATATATAAAAATAAGAATCAAAGAATAAAAAAATGCACACTTATACACACATGTTCCTGTAACTCTTCACCTGTAGGTGAGGAGAGAGGCTACAACCCTCATCTTAGGGCAGCTGATCCCAGAGAAGGGGAGCTGCAAGAAGAAAACTTGATATCATCCCCTGACCAAACTGATAGTTGGGGACCCTTAGTGAATGTTGTCTTGCCCTCCAAGGTGGACAAGCACTGATTATTTGGAAAATTCGATGTCATAGATAGCCTAATCTTGAACCATATCCAGCTTTAAAGGTAATGAGCAGCTCCTTGGATTGCATCCAGAGGAACACTGGTAGCCAGTGAAACTTCTACAGCAGTATTGTAATATTACAGAATTCAGATTACATCTGTGAACATGCAGTGTATTGAATTTTAGACCAGCTGATATTTCCAGGGTACCCCCAGGGCAATCCCAGGAAGAACAAATTGATTAATTACATGTCATGAAGTTGGTATCAACTCATCAATCACATAGATTTTTTTTCTCCAGGACTATCTACAGTCTTGTTCTTTAGATTTACCAACAATAGCAATAGTACTTAGACCTCTATACTGCTTCATAGTGCTTTACAGCAATGCATCCATCATCACTGTAATTGAGCCCATTTATAACAGGCAAGATGTGGAGCGCATAATTTACAATACTTCCAGGTGGCTGAAAATGCTATTGTGATCAATGGGAGTGAATAGCAAATATGACGGTATCAAATTGTAGCTTTATATTTCAATTTCAACACCAAAGTATAGGGGATGAATAATTATAGCAACTTGCTGAATTTATTATTAATCTTCAAAATAAATACAAGGGTAGTAAAAGTACTTTTAATCAAGATGGCTAATTTGACAGTATATTTTAGATACTAACGAGAAGTTTGAAATTACTTGGTGCCCATTAATAGGCATGATTACTGATTAAAATGGTCTCATGATGTTATATAGTATAATAATGGTATTGTTTTCTATGCTGTTAGAAAAAATTCCCATAATCCAATATAAGCATAGATTTTTCTTTTTTCTTTTTCAATATAACATATGATTTATTTTCTCTAGAAATTACATGCAACTCTCCAAGAATATTGAATGGTTCTTTTCGATCTCAAAGAACAATATATCACGATGGGGATCTAATTCGAATTCAGTGTGATAGTGGATTTACTCTTGAACCAGATAATGGGGAAAAAGTGGTTGAATGCACAAGAAATGGATGGTCACCTTCACCAAAATGTGTTGGTAATAGAACTTGCATGTATTACTATGATTATGGAAGGGCTGAACTATTTAACTCTGAAGAATTGTACTTTTAAACATTATTTTGTGTAATTTTTCCACTTATTTTTGCCTAAGGGACATATCTCACTCAGAACATTTTAGCAGATTTTGCACCTATCTAAAGTTCTTATTTAGTTGCAACAGGATACAGGGCAGACATGAAAGGAGGATGCACTATCAGACTAGAATGGACAAGATTGTAGAATCGCATTCCCACCAATTCACCTTGAAAAGATTCTAAATGCAAGTTGGATGGATGCAAGAAATGGGTTTCAATGAAGTGTGGAATATCAGCTTGTCAAGAGGAATAACCAAAGTTATAGGCAAATTCACAGATTCTCTTTCAGATCTTGTTACTTTGTGATCTTCTCCAATTCTTGTATTATCCCCTGATATTGCCATATCAATTATCCACACTTTCTTATCAACCACTATTATACCTGGTGTGTTATGAGCCAAGACTTATCAGTTTGTATTAGGAAATCCCAAAATATTTTAGCTTGCTCATTTTCAACAACTTCTATGTTCCCAATTTTTTTTTGTTACTGGAACTTGATAATTTTGACAGGTGTTCCAGTGCATCAATTTTGGTGACTGTGATATTTTGTTGTTTATAATCATTTTGTATGATTTCTTTCATGAGCTGAGTAAATAATCTACTGTTTCTTCCTTGTCTGCACAATCTGTACTTTGAATCATTTGACGATTGTTCAGTTCTGGCCTTGACAGGATTAATTTGAATAGCTTGGTCTTGAGCAGCCAAAATCAAGCTTTCAGTTTCTTTTTTTAAAACATTCCAGTTGTAGTCATTGCCAAGTTTTATCTTTATTCACTTTCCCCTCAAACCTTTGTAGAAATTGACAGTGTAGTGCTTTTCTTTTTTATTATGTTTTATTATATTTCAATATTCATTTTTTTTGTTTTCAGCATATTAATTTCCAATTTTTAACTTGCAGTAATGTTAGTTCTTGGCCATATTTTGTGTACAACTAATGTATGCCTTTACTGCTGTTTTAGATTTTTGGTAAATAGTACTAAATTATTTAAGTATAATAAATGTTTGGAGGGGTCAGTGAACAATCTAAACATCATGAAGACGTTGATGAACTGAAGAATTGGGGGCCCTAGCTTAGAGGAAAGATAGAAGGTATCAGCTTTCATTTCCCAGATGTCCTCTAGGTTTGATACACCCCAACCTTTTTCATTGAGGCAATTGCTTGATAGTTAGTGCAGGAATCATCAATCTAGAGAATGAAGTGAGAAGATCTACAGTAGATTCAAGATCTACAGTATGGGGATCTCTCCTCATTTTGCAGTACATTAGTTTCATAGGCAGTAACTTATTGACCATATATCTCTATTCATATTCCTCCATAGAAATTCAGTGTTCCCCTCCAGAAGTGAGGAAAGGCCGTATTGAACCTAGACGATCTCAATATATGTACAATGATGAAATTGAGATAATCTGTCATAGACGGATTTTCTTTACAGCAATTCAAAGAAAGTACATTTCTAAATGTACTGCTAATGGTTGGAGTCCCTCTCCTCTCTGTGAAGGTAAGCAGTGTTGTTGTTTTTTAAAAAAAAATTCTTTGTTTTTAGTTTCTTTCTAAAGCAGAAATTGCTTTATTGTTTATGAATGATATACTATGTTATGGTGGATGAGATGAGATGATAATGGAGGCAGGACACTAGTTTATTATAACTAGCTATAGTAATGATAACATTTCTACACTAAGGCCTCTCATAATTAGTGAATTCTTACTTGAGAGAGGACTTTTTTTTTTTACTCAGAAAGTCTTTCCTAGCAGAATGAATATTATCCTGTCTACTCCAATCTTTTTACACTGAAACAATTGCTTGATAGCTAATGTTGCAATCACCAATCTTCCAGATGATATTATTCTCTGATGTTCTCCCTATGTTCTGTCCTCACTACATTTTAGTGTAGCTCAACATGCAGTTAAAGTCTCCTGTCCTTCAATAATCCAGACCATAAACACAGAACTAGATACTTTATTAAAAAACAGCATGAGGTGAATGCTATACAAGGGATATAGATTTTGTCCTCAGAAGAACATGTGCTGCGGAGTAAGCTGGATTCTTCTAGATGCTTCTGTCACCTCAGAATGGTACAAAATGGAGTATGGCTTTTCAGGATGCACCTTTTTTCTAAAATGAGGGATGATGGATGCTCTATGTCTATGGGGTCAAACTTTTTACCAAACCAGTTTCTAAACAAGGAAAGATTTGTATTTGGCTATCAGAGGGAGCTCAATATACAGTATGTTAAAGAACAACAACAGCAATAAAAATATATAAACTATATACTGGAGGCAGACCTACGGAGAAAGTAAGAAAGATTGCCTTTACAGATGTATGCAAGAACTGTTGTCTAGGGGCTAAAACATTTTTAAGTTCAGAAAAGCAAGATAACATTTGGAAGGCTCTCAGAACTTTTCCTATTTACTGAATGAAGGAGGAGAAATATAGCACAATCATATGCGTAAGATATTATTATTATTATTATTATTATTATTATTATTATTATTATTATTATTATTATTATTATTATTATTATTATTATTATTATTATTATTATTATTATTATTATTATTATTATTATTATTATTATAACAAATTTCAGTGAAGATAGTCTTGAGCTTCCTTAGCCCACCCATCTTAAGAGCCATGGTGGCGTGGTGGTTAGAGTGCAGTATTGCAAGCTAATTCTGCTGATTGCCAATCAGCAGGCTAATTGCCAGCAGTTCGGCTGTTCTAATTTCACCAGCTCAAGGCTGACTCAGCCTTCCAGCCTTCTGAGGTTGGTAAAATAAGGATCCAGATTTTGGGGGGCAATATGACTTTATAAACCACTTAGAGAGGGCTGTAAAGCACTGTGAAGCAGCATGTAAGTATAAGTTCTATTGCTATTGCTATCTTGTGAAGTTGACAGAACTGAAACACAATAGACAGAGAAAGGTCCCACAGCTTGTGTTACTTGCAACTGAAAAAAAAAAGATCATAAAACAAAATAAATTTTAAATAAATTCCACTTCAAGGTTTATAGAATGAGGATCTCTCCTCATTTTGCAATGCATTAGTCTCATAGGCAGTGACTTATTGACCACGTTTCTCTATTCATATTCCTCTGTAGAAATTCGGTGTTCCCCTCCAGAAGTGAGGAATGGCTACATTCGACCTACACAATCTCAATACATGCACAACGATGAAATTGAGATAACCTGTTTTAGATGGCCTTTCTTTAAAGGAGACCGAAAAAGCCGTTCTAACTGTACTGCTAATGGTTGGGATCCCCCTCCTTCCTGTTAAGGTAAGCAGTGGTTTTTTTTTTCTTTTTTGTTTCAGTTTCCTTGTATTTAGTTTCTTACTAGAGCAGAAATTGCTTTATTGTTAATGAATGATAAATTTCTTTATTGACAAAGAATGATTGTTTATGAAATAATAATGGCGGCAGGAGACTAGTTTCTTATAACTAGCAGTAGAAATGATACATTTCTATAATTTTTCTTCTTAAAAATGTCCTAAAGCTTTTATAATAATCATAATATGATTCTACAAAAAGCAGAGAAATAATGTATTAAAAGCAAGTTCAATAGCAATAACCTTATTATTATGATGCTCCATGCTGTTATTAACCATAATCCATAAGCCACAACACAGGGAGTACCTCTCTGAATATTGTAGGGACCCGAGAAGATGATTTAATCAAGTGATTCTTTAAAGAAGCCACATCCTATCACAGTCAGAGAAGTGCTACAGTGCTACAAAAACGAGTTTACACCTTTTATTGCTTATTTTCTGAACTAAAAGCTTAATACTTAACACATTCACAGAGGGACACGTACTTGCCCAACTCAGGATCTGAACCTGACATACAGGCAGAAGCATACAGACGTGCTAGGGAAACAGTGGACTATCCTTGTACCATGCACACAGGCTGCATGGATTTGCCCAAAATCCTTCCTGTTTAGAATCTAGTGGTTGATCCTCCTGTGCCTTCATCAGCTATACAACTCTTGTCAGATATCAAGACAAGAGCACAGTGATTAGAATGCAGTATTGCAGGCTAACTCTACTCACTGCCAGGAGTTCAATTCTGATCGGCTCAAGTTGACTCAGCCTTCCATTCTTTTGAGGTCGGTAAAATGAAAACCCAGATTGTTGTGAGAAATATACTGACTCTGTAAACTGCTTAGGGAAAAAAGCACTAAAGCACTATGAAGCAATATATAAGCCTAAGTGCTATTGCTATAACTGAAATCTCTTATTCAACATGCAAAGTCTCAAAGCAGGTTAGTGGCAGAAATGTAACACTGAGAAAAATGTGGGAGAAGAGGGTAAGGTGACAGTGTCCAGAGGCCAAGAGGGTATGGCAGGCCACACAAGACTTGCACTTTTCCTTCTTAATTAGTAATTTTAAAGAAATCTTTCAGTCACCGTGCTCAAACAGGAAGTCTTTTCTAATAGCTATTGTAATCCTTTAAAACCAGAAATATGTTTGCTTTGTGTTCAGTTTATGCACTTGAGTTTGAATGTTCACAAAGGCTTCAGCTATTTGGGGAATAGAGATATGATAAGATTAGATCTCCTGCTTCATACAGATAATCTGCCACTTAGATTTTTTTTACCATAAGCTACAAGCCTTCTGAAAGCCCCATATGATGGAAAGAACAATGAACCAGTCTACCAGTGGTTTGAAAAGACTAGTAAACATCCATCCAAAAACAACCAATTGGACAAATCTCTGGAAGGAAGAAGGGGTGCTTCTTCCACACTGCTATAAAATATGTACACTTTCCCCTTCTTTCCCTGTTTTTCCCTCCCCCACCTTTTATTACCAGCATGTAAATGAAATATTCTGATTTTCAGGTATCTTACAGTTTTCATCATTGGCTTTCCTTATCCCACTTTGAATCAATGGTTATGCCCAAATTAGCTCAGTCTTTTTCAGATAAAATTGATATAAGATTACTTCATGGATATGACTCATAAAGGGAAGAAGATGACTTTTTTCTCAATCATCTTAACCCAAAAGGTCTCCTTCGGATAATGGAGAGGGAGAAAGATTGAATGAACTCACAAAGTTTTTTAAAAATATATTTTAAGGGTACCCATGGATTAAAAATGTGAAATATTTAACAGGGAAATTCTTAAGGATTCTGTGATTTAAATCAGTTTCTCTTCATTCAGAACAACAGAGGGGAAATGGCTATATCTGTGGTGGGTGGTATATTTAAAAACAATGAGGATTGGATCAGAGAGTTACAAACAACTGCCATAATTTCATATCTTCCTGAATCCTGGCAAAGTCCTCTCTTCTGGGGCTGAAGTGAGGAGAAACTCTAATGTATCCTCATATACTCACTGATTTCAATGGTCCCATTGCAACATGTTTGGTTTGAATCAGCCTAAATTTTTCATTTAAATTCTTGGGTTGGATCCAACAGTCCATTGCAATCAAAGAAATTCCATTTACTGATGATTCATTTAACCTATCCAATAGATTTCTGAGGGTCTGAGCAGAAGTAAATTTGGATTCAGCCCAGTTCCTTTATTCATCCTAAAGGTTATGCTTGAGGATCACTCTGCCTGCCAGAATTTAGATCCTAAAATATATTTAAAAAATCCTGATTAGTGTCAACATTCCTAAAATGTTTAAGGTTTTAATGTATTGTGGTTTTAGAGAGAAACAATAGAAGCAAGCAACTGCTTAGTGACAGAATGCTCTACAATCTGTTCTAGAATGAGTGTCCATTTGGCCATTAGATTTAACATACTGAGATAATCATATTTGATATTTCCTCCATATTGCCCATGTGTGGAATTAGTTTAATATTATAAAATTATCAAGTGTGCATTCTGTTCTAGATGAAGTGGTATAAGAAATAGGTCTTTAAAATATAACTTGCAAACCTACATTTTATTTTCTAGGTCTATGGAAATGAATGAGGCAACCCTTTTCAACCAGTATTTGGATGTCAATAATCATGGATCATTCTCTTTAATACCTGTACATGAAACTTGTGTTTGTTCTGGAAAATATATGTACTCTGCAGTTGTTCACAATGAATCTTGAAAATAAAAGCCTACTTTGAAAAAGCTAAATGATTATTATTATTATTATTATTGCTAAAATAATGCATTTTCCAGCAAATATATAATCATTCTAATTTAACATAATATACATTTTTCAAAATGTGCCTGAAATCAATAATGTACACCTTTATGTATAAACTTGTAACCAAAATATTTGATTAATGAGAATTAACAACCATCAATCCTTTTTAAAGCGGTTTGAGAACACTCAAAATGGTATTTTAGCATGAAGAAGTGTTGAGTTCATTAAATGAATAATAAACCCATCTGTAAAAATAATTTCCATTTTTTATTTTTTAAAGAGATATAAATTCTCACTGATATTAGCCAAGATGAATAGCCAAGATAAACCCTGATGGTGATTGAGTTCAATGCTTTCATCTTGGCTTATGCCTACAAAGCTCTTTCAGAAGAACAACACTTTTATTCATAATGAGCATTCACTGTCATTTACGATTATTTACATTTTTATTTATATATTGTTTAAACAGCCTTTTGCAATAGTTCTGGGAATAAATTTTGCAATGTTAAGCAAAGCTATGGTTCAAAGTCCTGTCCACACTAAATACTGGAAGTTATTCTTGCAAGACTGGACTATGACTTATTTCATCCATCCAGCAGTAAATTGTCCTGCTTTTTATTTTTCTAAACTTCTTATATTCAGGCATTATATTAAGAGTTCTGCCACAGACAAGAGAGAAAAACACACATCCTTCTATTTTCTCATCCTAAACTGTGATGAAGATATATTGTTGGCTACCCAGACCATTACAAGAAGGGATTGGTTTTCTTCTGGAAATTGTTAAAGGCCTTCCTTCTCATGATGCTTCTTCAGCTCTTTTATGTGATACACAAATGGACGATAACTGTGGTTCTGGGCAGATTCTTTGGGCATGAAAAATGTAAAGAGTAAGAAGTTCCCTGAAGAGAATTTGCAGTTGCTGATCATGAGCAAATATAGAAGGGTTTCTGCAAAGAGGGAAAGAATCTGTGATATCACATCATTATGCAGAGATTTATGCAAACAATTTCATCTATACAATATCCTCCTGACATATGTCACATAATTGTGATTTATGCCAGATGTCCCTTGGTATTACATTAGTCAATTTTGTGAGCTGATGATGTATTGATAGGGCTAGAGGAAAAGAAATGCAGAAAAATTCATGTTAAAGGTGATTCAAGCCCTGTAAAGTAAACTAGACTAAGAAATCAATGCCCTGTTGTTCAGTACTACATTTATTGTATCAATTACAGTCATAGAATTTTGCAAGTCTACATGTGCTCCCCTCTCCCTCCTTTTATCTTCATGTGAATTAGGAAGGGGCTTGTCTGAGACATTCCTTCAAATTACTTTTTGGGCCTGGTCTCAGGCTCCTCTGTTCTTACAGCTGCCTTTTTCTTGTCCCCCAAGGCCATTCCCTCTGTCCTCTACAGGTCCTGAGTGAGACAAACACTGTTCACACTAAAGACACAAGATGAGGAGTCTTTTTGATTCATTTGAAATTGTACAAGACAGATAGTACATATTGTTTTCTTCAGAGTAGGTAGGTGGAATTGGCAGCAAAGAATACTTTTCATACACATCTGTAAAAAAAGAAATTTTTGAATTTAAGAAAAATATATTATAAAATGGTGACACCATATTTTCTCTAAAAGACAAAAAAGGGAAAAGGGAAAATGATATATAAAATCACATTTTCCCTTATCAAAAGGAATTTTCCTGGTTGGTATAAGGATAAGGGTAGATCTTGTATCCTTTTGATAAGAAGATAATGTCTTATTTTTTCTGTTCTTCTAGTCCCTGGGAATTGATACTGTTTTGTCCTTCTGGATATTTATATAAGTGGAACCTAATTCTAGATCTGTAAAATCTGGGAAGAAAAAAAAAGCTCTAAATTGTGCAAACAGTCTCCCTGATATGATTGTCCATAGGTTAACTACATTTGACTGAAGACTGTAAAAATCTAGAGGAATTTAAGGAAAGTTTGGGGTATCTACAAACTTGTGGTTCTTATACCTGTTGACATATAAATGCAAAATAAATATGTCAGTTATCAAATGTAAGTTCATAATATATATATATATATATATAAGGAAAAAAGGAAAATAAAATACAAAATAACATTGTCCCTTGTAAAAGGGAATTTTCCTGTTTAGTGAGAGAACAAGGGTTGACCTTTGTTTTTTCCTCTGATAAGGAAGCAATATCTTATTTTCTTGGTTCTTCTAGCCCCTGGGAGTTTTGAACTTCTGGATATTTATATAAGTAGAACCTAATCTTAGATCTGCAGTATCTGTGGGAAAAAATAGGTACCAAAATGTAAAGTCTCCCTCATATGATTGGCTAATGGTTAACTATATTTGGCTGATTGTTTAAACTCCAGAGTCATTTAAGGTAAGTATTGGATAGCTGCAAACTTGTGGTTCCTGTAACTATTGACACAATGAATGCAAAATAGATACATCAGATATCAAATATAATTTAATTAGTTATCAAAGTTTTACACTGCCCATTTCATCTGAGTCACTCTGGGTAATTTACAATAAAAATACATTGTTAAGAGCTGGAAGAATGAGGAAACGGTTCACATAATAACTAGAGTTCAAGTGGTGATTTTTCTTTCTGAAAAACTGAACTATTGGTTGATTTGTTTGTTGTTATCATTGTAACACAAAGTTCCCAAGATTCTCATGGAGTCCTCTGTTATCTGTAAAGGTCATCTTCTTATTCCAGTAATATTTCTTCCTCCAAGGTTCCTTGACAAGCAAACAATATAAAATGAGGAAGGATGGTAGTAGCTGGAAGAAATCAGCTGCGAAAGCCAGACTGCTGAAGTGAGGTCTGGTGGTTCAGACATTGCCTGAACAGCTATGAAGAGCTGGCTGCTCCTGGTTGCTGCTTTCCTTATCTGTCCAGGCTGCTCTTCTCAAAATAGTAAGTTAAGAGGAAGAGAAATCAAGGGGTTACTAAAGGAAACAGTTTCTGTTGCGTTCATTCAAGGAACAGTTATTTTTAGTGAAAGAGTTCCATTTTTCATCTGTGGTTTTCTGGAAATTTGTAATGGCAGATACTTTAAGAATATCATAGACTTATAATTATAATTTCCCTCTCAAATACAAGATGTTTCAGCAACTGAACAGCAAGTATGGCGTTATTCACATTGTAGCTTTATTTTTACAACACTGCAGTGCACAGTAGATTTTCATAGTATATTTTAGATACCAGTAGTAAGTTTTAAATTAGTTAGTGCCCATCAGTGGCTGCCGATTAAAATTGTTTGATGATTATATATATATATATATATATTCAAAATAATAATGCTGTTGTTTTCTGTGCTAATAGAAAAGCAATGCCCAAAATCTGATACAAGTGTAAGCTTTTCTTTTTTTAGTAAAGATATTGTTTATTTTCTCTAGAAATTACATGCAGTTCTCCAAGAATATCAAATGGTTCTTTCCGACCTAAAAGAAGTATATACTATGATAGGGATCTAATCCAAATTCAGTGTAACAATGGATTTACCTTTGAACCAGATAATGGAGGACAGGTGGTTGAATGCACAAAAAAAGGATGGTCACCTCCACCAAAATGTGTCTGTAAGTAAAAGTTGCATACATTACTATGATTAGGGGCAATATATTTAACTCTTCACCAGAAATTCACATTATTTTTTATGAATCTCTCTCTCTCTCTCTCTCTCTCTCTCTCTCTCTCTCTCTCTCTCTCTCTCTCTCTCTCTCTCTCTCTCTCTCTCTCTCTCTCTCTCTCTCCCTCCCTCCCTCCCCTGAGGGACATACCTCAACAAGATCTTTTAGCAGATTTTGTACATATCTAAAGTTCTTATTTAGTTGCAACAGGATACAGGACAGACATGAAAGGAGGATGTTCTATCAGAACGCAATAAACAAGATTGTACAATTGCATTCCTACCCATTCACCTGGATAAGATTCTAATCATTTAGATTTGTTATATAGCATTTCTTTTTTTATTATTCTATTGATTACAGAAAATATTAATGAAAACATATTTGTGTTTTATAGTAGAAATGACTTGCCAGATAGATCATATTGAACATGGAACCATATTATCTGCAAAGTTTGTTTATAAGGAAGGTGAGAGAATATGGTTCTCCTGTAATGAAGGATACAGATACGTTGGCAGACCAGATGCCTTATGTACTAAGAATGGATGGAGTACAAAACCTCAGTGTACAAGTATGTATATGTTTCTAATGGTCATGGTTACTCTGAAATCTTATACACATTGGATGCATAGGATTGCAGCTCCAATCAATCAAAAACAAAATTCTGGTAATTTAGGAATTGAGTCTTTGTGGGTTGATATTGGGTTTCATTTTCACCAGAGATACTTACATATAACATGGATAACAAGTCTTAGAAAAGTCATATGTCTTTTCTTTAACACGCAAAATAATCTGTTTCAATTTTCTTCTGAATCTATGGGCTATTTATATGAATACTGATTGCCTAAAGTAACTATAATTAGTTTTAAAGGAATAGTATAAAAAGAGCCACTAATTCTATAATTTCAATATTATAGCCATCCATGATAAACAAAAAATCAGGCTCCATAGTTTCTTGGAACTTGTGGAACTAAAACAGCATACTTTATTAACTTTTAATTTTAATTGATCAGACTTAAAATGTCCAATGTCTTTCTTCAGAACAGGTCATTATTGTTCTTAAGATCATTTGGGGCAAACATTTATTAAGTTGTGTCTAACTCAAAGTTTAGAAAAAAGCATTTGTTTCCTTTAGGGACAATCTGGGTGATAGTCCCACAAGAAGCAACACAAGCTATTTTTGGAAGCATGCATTAGAGGCAGAATTGAGCCACAGAAGATCAGTTGGCCACAGGCTAGAGTTCAGCAGAAATTCTATTTCAGATGATGTTTTTACATATAGCTTCAGATTGTCCATGTGAAGAAGGTGGGATAGCCTGACAGATGTTTTTGATGTTTTATAGGTATGCCTTGATTTGTTTAGTATTGTTGAAAGAAAAATTGGTGCAATGAGAAACAGTAGTGATGATAGTGAAGCTCCTTCAAAGCTCCCCCCAGAAATTGCCTTTCTTTCCTTACCTGACTCCCAGCCCTGTGCCATTTCTCCTTCACGATCTGCCATCACATGCAAGGAAACAAAGGAAGATTATGGGGGGGGGGGCGATGGTCAATCAATCAATTCCAACTTCGTGATCTTTCACAAGAAGTTGGAATTGATTGATTGAGCTTTTTTTCCCCAAAAAAAGTTCCTTTGTTTCCTTGCACGCGGCAGCGGATCGCGAAGGAGAAATGGCATGGGGCTGGGAGTCAGGTAAAGAAAGAAAAGCAATTTCTGGGGGGAGTGAGGATTTCTTTCCTTACCTGCCTCACTTGTTCCAAGGCCACTTTCCACTCAGATGCATTGCTCTTGCCAATGGCTCGACTGCCAACTTCAGCACCCTGCCTCCCTGACCTCTGGTGTTCCACCTGCTGCTTTGGTGGCTCTGTAGGCAGAGCTGTGAAGTTCTCTTCTCTGTCAGAGAAGAGAACTTTGCAGCTCTGCCTACAAAGCCACCAAAGCTGTAGCTGAATGGGCAGGTGAGGGGGTAACCTGCCCCACTTGTTCCATGGCCACTTTCAGCTGAGCCGCATTGCAGCAGCATTGGGTGCAATACGCGAGGCGGCAAAAAGCCACATCGTGCCAAAACCAGCCGTTTGCTGCCTCCTGCCCAATGCTGCTGCCATGAGGCCTCGGAACAAACTGGGCAGTGGTAAGAAACTGGTATACCGGTTCCTTACCTCTGCACAGCTTGTTCCGCAGCCTCATGGCAGTGGCACTGGGTGCGATGCGCAAGGCGGCAAATGGTCATGGCCGGTGGCAAACAGCCACGTCGTGCCAAAACCGAGGGGCAGGCTGTGGCTGCTGATGGACACAGTTGGCCCCCATGCGCTCACTGTGTGCAGGGGCCTATGGTGTCAGGCAGCAGCCACCCCAGCCCCTGCCTCGCCTTGCCTTGCCCTGCGGCAATGGCACCCCTGCCCTGCCCCCTGCCTCGCCTCACCCCACAGGATAAGCCTCCTGCCCACCATGCCCACCATCCCACCCACCAGAGCCCCCCTGGATCTCTCCCAACCCTGCCTGGCCCCCACAGGTGTCCCTCCCCTCGAGCAACATCGAGATGGCCATGCCATGGCGTTGGATTGATACTTTTCAGCAAGAAGTGAAAGTGATTTCCGGTTTGAAATTTTTCTTACTTTGAATCTGCGTATTACTTGTTTTTACTGAACTGCTTAACCTTATTGCTAATATGGTTCTGAGAAAAATCCTGCCTCTAACTTTGAGACCGTTTACATCCCTGATGGCTCAGACATCTCAACTAACTTCTGAA